CTTGTTTTATCTGTGGAAATGATTTTAAACCTGAGGACAAGAAGGTTCGTGACCATTGTCACGCCCACGATGATTGTAATCTTGGTTTTAGTATGAGATATTATAAAATCCCTGTGTTTCTTCATAACCTTAAAAACTATGATGCCCACTTAATCATCAACAAGGCTCACGAACTGAACAAGAATTCTAAAATAGAATGTATCGCTCAGAACAGCGAAAAGTTTATAACCTTTGGTTTTAAAAATCTTTGTTTCAAGGACAGTTTCAGTTTCTTATCGTCTTCGTTGGATAAGTTGGTGAAGTTGAGTAAATATGAGGATGATAAAAAGCGTGAGAATTGGAAGAACAATTTCAGATACAGCGTTAGAAACCCGTATGTTAAAACCGATGAAGATTTGGATTTATTGACTGATAAGGGTATTTATCCCTATGACTACTTTGATGATTTTGAAAGATTTAAGGAAAGGGCTTTACCACCGAAAGAAGCGTTTTACAGTAAATTGAGTGAAGAACATGTAAGTGATAAAGATTATGAAAGGGCACTGAAAGTATGGAAGCACTTCGGGATTAGAACACTCGGGCAGTATCACGACTTGTATTTAAGAACTGATGTTTTACTACTGACCGATGTATTTGAAAACTTTAGAGACTTGTGTATGGAATACTACGGTTTAGACCCCGCTCATTATTACACATTGCCAAATTTCGCATGGGACGCGATGCTTCTAAAAACTGGTGTTGAAATAGAACAATTGCATGACCAAGAAATGTTTGAGATGGTTGAAAAGGGAATGAGAGGTGGAATGTGTCAAGTCAGTCATAAATTAGCAGTGGCAAATAATAAGTATATGGGGGAAGCATATGATGAGAACAAGCCATCAAATTATATTAGTTACTTGGATGCGAATAACTTGTACGGCTTAGCAATGTCCCAGAAGTTACCGCTAAAAAATATCAAGTGGACAAAGAAAACTCCCATTGTTGAAAAATGGAATGAAAACGATGAGTTCGGTTATATTATGGAAGTTGATTTGGAATATCCCGAAACATTGCACGACTTCCACTCTGACTATCCACTAGCGCCTGAAATAATGAATGTAAATGTGAATATGCTTTCCGATTATCAAAAGCAAGTCTTCAAAATATATTATGATGGTAAAAGTCCCAAGGACGAGAAAACAAGTAAGTTAATATTAAATCTAAAGGATAAAGAAAAATATGTGGTTCATATTAAGACTTTACAGTATTATTTGAAAATGGGAATGAAAATGGGTAAAGTCCATAGGATAATAAAGTTTCAACAGAGGGCTTGGTTGAAACCGTGGATTGATTTCAACACTGGTAAAAGGAAAGAAGCCAAAAGCGATTTTGAGAAAGATTTATTCAAATTAATGAATAACGCGGTGTACGGAAAAACTATGGAAGACAAACGAAACCATATGGATTTTGAATTAGTTGATAATGAGGTAAGATATGAAAAATGCGTTAATAATCCAACATTCAAAAACAGATTTATTATTAATGAAAACCTGGTAGGAGTTGAAAAAACTAAAGCGAAACTGAAACTGGATAAACCGATTTTCTTAGGAATGAGCATTTTAGATTTAAGCAAATTACATATGTATCAGTTTTATTATGATGTATTGAAAAAGAAGTATAATGAAAACATCAAAACTGATATATACTGATACTGACAGTTATGTAATTCAAACAATGACTGATGATGTCTATAAGGATTTCAATGATATAAAGCAACACATGGATTTTAGCGACTATCCTGTTGAGCATCCATGTCATGACAAAACTAATAAAAAGGTCTTAGGAATGTTTAAGGACGAAGTGAATGGAAAAATCATTACTAAATTCATCGGATTAAAACCTAAATCTTACGCCTTCACAATTCACGGTGAGGATGATGAACATAAGAAATCAAAAGGTGTAGTGAAACACAAAGTTAAAAAAGAACTGTCGTATCAGAACTATCACGAAGCATTATTTCAAAACAAAAAGCATGAAATAACATATAATTTTATTCGTAGTCGCAACCATCAATTATTTTCAATGTCTCAAGTAAAGCAAAGTCTGAGTAATTATGAAAATAAAAGGTTTTATATTGATGCTTTCACTTCATTGCCTTATGGACATTACGCTATTACAAAGTAATAGCCTAATGAGCTTCGCGACATTACGCTATTACAAAGTAATAGCCTAATGAGCTTCGCGACATTACTCCATAAAATAATTATCTAAATAGTTCTAATAATATGAAATTATTAGAATTATTTTCAGGGACAGGTTCGGTTGGTGGGGTTGCTCGGGATTTGGGTTTTAGTGTCATTTCCCTTGATTTGAAAAATGCAAATATCAATGCTGATATTTTGAGTTGGGACTATAAACAGTTCGGGGTCAATGATTTTGATGTGATTTGGGCATCTCCTCCATGCACTGAATACAGTCGTGCTAAAACCGTTGGTGTCCGTAAGATTGATTATGCTAATAGTATCGTTTTAAAAACCCTTGAAATTATAGATTATTTTAAACCAAAATACTGGATAATAGAAAATCCTCAAACAGGATTATTAAAAGAACAACCGTTTATGAGTGGTTTAAACTACTATGATGTGGATTATTGTAAATACGGGTTTAATTATAGGAAGAGAACAAGGTTGTGGTCAAACATTGAAACTTGGAAACCTAGACCATTATGTAATAGGGATTGTGGGAAAATTAGGAATGGGAAACATTTAGAAACTGCTCAACGGTTGCCATCGGGAAAGAAATCAGATTGGGGTGAGGGATACATTAAACATAAACAAGATGACCTATATAAAATTCCTACTGATTTGATAAGCGAGATATTTGTTTATTTTAGGGAAGGGACATAGGAAAAACAACAAAGGCCTCAAACACAATAGTTAATCCCATCCCACCGTCAAACCTAGTAGAAGTCAGTCTTGTAGCGTTCGGTCGGTGAGGGGTCCCAAATGGAGGGGTCAAGGGGTCCCAAATGGAGGGGTCAAGGGGTCCCAAATGGAGGGGTCAAGGGGTCCCGTGTTCGTGGGACTGGGAGTCCCGTGTTCGTGGGACTGGGGGTCCCGTGTTCGTGGGACTGGGGGTCCCGTGTTCGTGGGACTGGGGGTCCCGTGCCTGTGGGACTGGGGGTCCCGTGTTCGTGGGACTGGGGGTCCCGTGTTCGTGGGACTGGGGGTCCCGTGCCTGTGGGACTGGGGGTCCCGTGCCTGTGGGACTGCGCCTTATCGCTGATGAGATTGAATACGGGACAAACTAGCTGTTGTTTATTCATATTATTTAGTTATAATATGATTAAACATTGTTTTATAATCTATCAAGAAGGTTAAGACATTTAAATTAAACCTGAAACCCAGACCAGCCGACCAGCAACCCCCTAGCCAAAACTACTTAAAGAAATATTACCTTATATATTAAGAGAAAAATGAACGGTGATGGAATCAATAATTATATCGATAAAAAATGCTATGATTGTTGTCACTTCAAAAAAGAAAATATGGAATTGTATAAATTGAGTTTACCTAATGAAATAGTGAATAATATTATTAATTATTCAATGGATGGTGAAGAAGACATATGTAAAAATTGTAAAACTTGGAGAGATAATCAATTTTTAATCAAATGTCTGTTGGGAATAAAAAGAATACATAATAGAAATGTAGAAGATGATATTTTAATATTTCTAACTGTAAATAAAATACCACCTTACGATTATGTTAAACAGTTTCTTAAAATCAGTAAGAAAAAATATGACACGATTTACGATATATTATGGATGTTGGGTTATAGTCAAGAGAAAGGAGAAGATGTTAAAGAAAATATCAAATTATTTATTGAAAGTAAAAAGTTTAATATTCAAAATACATTGAGAGATATTAATATTATTTTTAAAATGATGTATGAAAGAAGAAAGATTTGTCAATTAAATTATTATCCTGTACTGAAATTATAATCATAATATAATAATAACATGTAAAATCTTATATGTTATAATTATACTGAACTTTTAACCTATAACACCCCCTTAAACTTATCTAAAGAAATAACCCCTTAAACATATAGAGACCAATGACAGACAAAAAGCAATGTTCCAAATGTGAAGTCTTTCAATTGTTAGAAAAGTTCAACGAAGGAAGAAAACAATGTAATGTATGCTTGGAGAGCAAACGACGGTATAGAGAAGCACACAAAGAACAAATACAACAAAAGGCAAAGGAGTATTACGAAAACAACAAAGAACAAATAGCAGATAAGAATAAGACATATAGAGAGAATAACAAAGACACTTTAAAAGAACAGAAAAAGAACTATCGTGAAAACCATAAAGACGAATTAAAACAAAAAGCAAAAGAATATAGAGAAAAGAACAAAGAAGACATAAATGAAAAACAGAAAGACTATAACCAATTGAAAGTAGAATGTCCTTTATGTAAATGCTTGGTAGGAAAATACAGAATGAAAAAACACCAACAAACAAGTAAGCACCAACTAAGAGTGAAAGGTCAAGAAAACAATAACGATACTGTGAGAGAATACATGGAAACAACAAGTGACTTTGAACAAGAATAGGAATAATCAAATGAACCACCAACACCCTAGAACTTGATAACTACTAAAAGGGTCAACTCTTTCAAATGAAAAAAATGTCGGCCCCCAGAAAATCCACCCCTAACACCCTACAACAAAATATAGGAAGAAATCAAACAAGGGTGTTAAAACGTTGGATAACAACATTTGACCCAATAACCCCTACACTCCTCCCTCTTCCCCCCAGGCCCCCTACTTTCTCCATTTTTTCCCCCCCCCCAGAACCTTTCAATCCGAACCCTTTGATCAGACCCCGAAAACCTTTCCGGGGCGCGGAATTGTTGCCCTTGGGTTTCTTGGGTTCAAATCATTTTCAAGGGTCCGAATTTGGGATGGTGCGACATAGTTATTTCCTCTCCAAGAAAGGCACTCGCCTGACCAAGGGTCTACTGTACGGTCAAGTTGAAGGGCAAGTGCACCTATGCCGGCCAGCCAGCCTACAGCGGCTGCTTCTGCGAATACCTGTCTGTGGGTATCCCCGGGGCGGTTAACAGGCTCATGGTATTTGCGAATCCCGGCAAGAACGCGAGATTGACCATTCAAGGACCATTCTAGCAGTTGCCTTCGCTGTGTCTCGTTGCCTCACACTGTCGAACCCTTTAGTTGGACATCCTATTGTGGGAGTCCTTTCGTGTCGGCGATTCGCTCTCACGGCTTCGCCCAACGCACTAAGCCGACAACCCGCGCTGCCCAGTGCCACGCGCCACTTCTGGCCGATGCCGCGCAGGGCAGCTGTTGCGACCGGAAATAAGCGAATGATGGGAGATGGACATTTGAGAACAAGGCCGTTGCCTATGCCTGACTGACTGAAAGCTGGCGTCCACCAACATGTCATGGCATAGTGGCATGTATCATGCACATATGCGCAGGCATGTAAATTTACGAGCACTACCAAGTTACGCATATTGAATATTGCATTACTGCTATTACTCATCATTCTCGTCATTACGCCATTTCAGAATAGCAAGCCAACGCTCTATTTTTGGCGGGCATCGTGCTTGTGGAACTGGGACAACAAACACAAGTTCACTGACAGGTGGAAAAACTTTGCAAATGCGTACACAACATAATTGCAGGCACAGATATACATGGGAGCTTGTCGATAAGAGGTAGTATCGCTGTCGTCATTAAGTCTCATTTGCATTTCCGTCAAAGGGAATTCTACGCCTTCACGTAGCATTTCTAATTTCTACACCTTCCAAAGCGCAGCACTCGGAAGGGGCCTCTCGTATTCAATAGGTGAGATCTGATTTCTTTTCCTTTTTTTGGCTCAGTCCATCGCAGGTCTCGTGCTGTTTTCATGGTTGTCGTTGGGAAACATTTTACATTTTTGCTTATTGTGGTTTAGTGGTTGAAGTCCAACCACTCAACTGCTAAAATTTAAGTTTTTGCTCCCCTTCCAACGTCAAGGGAAGTCTTGGCTTGTGGCCGCCCGCGAGTTGGTCAGAAACTCACGGATCTGTGATGCTTGTCGGAGCTTCTTTCCACAGGCTTGGGCCAAGTGCACGTGGATAAACATGTTGCCGTTTGGAAAAGAAGACTGGCGTCGTAGGGTGAGTTGAACATGTAGAAGGACTCTACTAGGAACACGGCCGTTCAATTGCGCCCAACTCAAATCCGATTGATGTTCTCTCAGGAATTGCCTTGTCTCAATCCTGGTGATTTCGATGCTGGCGAATTCCCGGATGCGCACCCGGGGCATTTTCTCGGACCGCGGCGTTTTCTCCGCCGAGATGTCCTTGAGGGCGCTGGGCTGCGTTTCCGTGCTGCCCACCGCGCCGCGGCGGAAGTGGAGGGGGGGAAATCAGCGCCTGCCCGGGAGTGCGCCGAGGTTGGGAGATGTTCACCTGCGATATCAGCGGACATCTCGGAAATTGTGAGGGTCCTAATGGAATGTGGGGATTGAAACTAGGTTCTTTTTTTTGACACGCTGAAAGCACTTTGGGGGCAAGAGGCAACTGATTGAGCTGCAAACCAGGCACGAAAAGAATGGGAACGCTGACTTTGCAACCTGTGTGAGATAAGTTCGCGAGAAATTTGGAGGTTGTGGGGCATTCTGGGGTGGCTGACCAAGATCTCGAGGCGTGTGACCACCCACGTAGGGGAAGTGTTGGAGCATAGCCTTGCTATTGGTTTGCCCTTCCACCAGCAATGTGTCAACCGTAAGCCTCCCCAAGACGGACCTCCCCAAATTCCTGCAGCAACACGGACCTTTTAGGGCTCCCCAGAATAATAAGCGATATAAGCCCGAATGAGCCTTAACAAGCCTTCTCATGAAAGGAAGTCCAGAAGGAACTTCCGTGGTTCGGCAACTAATCAAAAGCTAGCTCTCTGAGACAGATGACGAGAAGAATAAGCACACACGTGTGGCGGGGGAATAGAAAGGTTCGAAAAGTGAGGCCCTTTGCCGATTTCGGTTTCTGGGGATGCTTGAAAGTTAGACTGCTCGCGACGCCTGGGCGGAGCGTGTTCGGACCACGTTCGGAGCCGGACCCACTCGCAGGGACTTTATCACGTGACCTTTCGCAAGGTGAGGTACAGATTTCGTGGCAGGCGCAGCGACGCCAGCACTTTCCCAAGGGCAGCTCTTCAGCGCAGATTTCGTGGCAGGTGCAAATGCTCTCGCAGTCGCAGCGCTTTCACACAATCATGCGCGCGCAGGTTTCGTTGCGCGCGGCACACGTTTGCACGTTCAGGCGAGGATTTCGCGGCAGGTGCAGCGCTTTCGCACGGTCACGCGCAGATTTTGTGACAGGCGCAGCAAATTCTGTAGCAGGCGCATCACTTTCGCAAGGTCAAACGCTCATTTCTTGGCAGCACAAAATGAACATTGACCAATAGACATAGACATAGACATAGACAGAGACATAGAGAGAGAGAGAGAGAGCGGGCAAACAGGGCGGGTAAATAGATAAACAGATAAACTGATAAATTGATAAACAATCATAGATCGTGAGACAGATAGATGGATAGATAGGTAGATAGGTAGATAGATTGGTAGATAGAGAGCTAGGTAGATAAGAAAGATAGACAGATCAAAGGGATTCAGGAGCAACAAAGGGAGATGCACAGATGACGGCGCGAGTGAAAGAGCGTGGGTGAGTGTGTAAGTAAGAAGTGAACGAGGGAGCGTGTGAGCGATTGAGCGGATAGCGTCACGGTGTCTACGACGCAACCAGGAGGTCGAAGCACTGCATAATTAGAAGTCAATAATAAGTATTCTTTTTGAGCCCATGTTTGACCTGCAGCAAGGAACAAGTTTCCGTGACAGCGCAGTGTGCGCTTCCCGGAGGCCAAGCGGACAACGACGAGCATGCTGCGCGCCCGTTTGAAATTTACACGCGTCTTGGGAGATCTTTTGGCCTTGCAACAAACAAGCTACGAGTGCCAGCGCAGTAGGCGCTTCTTGCGGCCACAACAAACAGCCCGCCTCGGCGCAGACAGCCCAAAAAATGCACCTGCCGCGGCTCAAAGTGCGGGCTCTGCCACGAAACCCGCAGACGACCGCTCCGCACAGACCAGCGCGCCGGCCACGAAATCCAGCCCGGACTCTCCAGCTCAAAGTACGGGCCCTGTTGCTAAAAGCAGCCCGGACCCGTGCAACTGCCACCACAGACCCCAACCGACCGGTCTAAAGTAATGCGCCTGCCACGAAATCCAGCAAAGAGTACGGACCCCACGCCGACCGCCAGCACAGCCGAAGAGTGAGGTTTCTGCCAGTGTCCAACCAGCCGCTAGAGTGTGCCATGTGGGGATCGTTCGAAGTACAACATTTTTTGAATTTTCTGCCCCAAGGCTTGCCAGCTCGACTGGTACAAATATGCTTCCAAGTGCAGTTTGAACACCTCCCCAGTGATGCGTACGAGCTACCTGGGTGCCGCTTCCCAATTCACCGCAGTGCTTGGAGCGTCCAAGCACGAGTGTATGCCGCGGTTTGCAAAGAACCTCCCAAATCGGGAGCCAAGTGAAAGGTCCTGCTGTCGATGAACACTGTCTACCTCTCCGTCCCTGAGCTGGCGCAGCTGCACGTGTACTCTGCCACGGACTTTCTAGTTCTCACGGTGCCAGCTCTGCTCTTCATCCTCTTGGCCAACGAGATGGCCAGGCACTTTGGTGAAAGTGGGGTTTTGGATTTCACTCATTGCTTGGCAACAGCCATTGAGGCGCTTGCCAGTCGATAAGTTGTTCTTCATGACCATTGCAACCGCCATACTTGATGATTCATTGCGTTGTATGCTTCTTGCGCCAGGAGAACAGCAATGCAATTGCTCACTTCAAAGAAGCCGCTCTCTTTTTGGACAGTTGGCGTGGAAATGATCGTGATTGGGGGTTGTTCGGCGGCTGAAGCCCAAGTGAACGTAAATAGTAGAACTCTTGATGAGGATGCGGCGACAGTTGCTGGGGTGTTAGCAATGTTAGCCGACCCCAACAAAGATCACCCGGCAGAGAAACCCCAATGCTCCACCGACATTCGTAGATATGTTCTTTGGGTGTAGGCCCTTCACTGGAAACCTGGAGGGTCTGGCAGCATTTCATGACTCAACTGTTGGGCATGTCACCCCTCAACCTGGTCAAGCCAAGAAATGGCAGTCGTGGGGGTCGCGAGAAAGGATCCTCGGACAAAAAAGGCGGGCAGATTCCACGAGCCCACGAGCCCAGGCATGTGGAGACTGGCTGCAAGGTGAGGAAATTGATGCAAGGGGAGTGGATCGCGGTGTGCCCTCGCACCCGGCAGGCGGAGAATTGGGCACCGGGGGCAGGTGTTGGTCCATCTGCAGAAACATGCCAAACCTAGTTGAGGCCGACAGGACTGAACACCGAGGTGTCGTCTCCCAGGCCACGCAACCAGTCAGTACTGTCGAACATGGCATCATTGCTGCATTGAGTGTGTTGAGTTACGACTCCTGCGCTTATCCACTGCGCAAGCTCCGCAGACATGTTAACGCACTGACGAAGCCTTGAAGACTCAGCTTCATCTTCAAGGGCTTGTCGTTGGAGGGGCAACCACAAAAAAATATGACTTGGCCAAAATACGATGGTTGCGAGCCAATCGCAGGGCTTGTGTGTTGTCCACTGATTTCGCTGTTGCTCTGCACCAACATGTTGAGGTTATGTGGTTTGGGACGAGTGAAGCGAATTCTTGAGCTCAGACCTAGTCATACTTTCATCCTGAATCACGGATTCCGGATCCTTTTGCCCCTCACCAGTTCCTTTCCCCCAGGCCTACCTTGCAGTTTTGCTTTGATTGCTTGTTTGTTGCCCCTTGCTGTTTGGGCTGTTGATCGCACGGTCTTGTTGGGGTTCCCACACGTGAACAATGAGGGGCCACTTTTGGATGTGAGTCGCCACGTTCCATGGATGCCTGGGAGGACTGCGTCAGCAA